GTTCAAAAAATTTTGTCTTGTGTTTAAATCCGAAATACTAATTGTTGTGCTGAAAAAAATTAAGATCTATTTCAACTGATTTATATAGAGAAAAAGTTGAATTTTTGAATTCGAAGTTATAATCAATCAAAGTTTTATCTATTACTACTGACAGATGGACATCCTGTCAAAATTAAAGCTACATACCTGCAACTGAACATTTCATATCTGAAAAACCAAACTTCATCAGTTTCTGTTTGGGCTTTGCATAACTTAATGGCCTCTATGATACAGATAATTTAAAAAAGGCTTTGCTAAAAATACTAGAAAATTTTAAAGTGGATAATAAAATAATCAGTGTAGTATCAGAAAATACCAGTAACGCAATTGTCAAAATTCTTCAAAAGTTTGTTTAAAAATTCAACCAACAAGATGTATGAGGCATGTATTGCAATAGCATACCGTTTGCGCTCTAAAAATAGAACTACTTAATGTAGTACAAGTGATTATGGGATTGATATTCCGACAAACAATGTAATAAAAATGAAGAGCTAAGGTACTGTTCTTGGGGAATTTGTAGATCGGATTCTGGATATAGTGATAGATTAACTCTAGGAACATTTTTATATGATTTCCTAAATCTGGAAATAATTAAGAAATAATGTCTGACTAATAAAAACAAATGAAAACTTTTAAATTAAAATCACGGCTTCATATTTTTGAAAGAAAAGAATTTAACAACATTGCTAAAACACTGATGATTAAAAATAAAAAAGTAATATACAGGCATTATTAGATTTTGTTGGTCCAGCAAAACATGATTTAAGTTACTTGAATTCCTCAAAGAAAATATATAAAAGAAACCTAACTAATTATACCCTTGTTTTACCTTTAAAAGTTGTACACTTATAAGAAACATCTTTGTGAGAACCATGATGCTGAAATATGGCAAAAATTAGGAGGATTATCTGTTTTGTTTAGCAAATACAAATTTTAACCCTGCATAGTCGTATTGAAAAGTACCCACTTCGATTAAGATAATGAGTAATGGTTCTGGGAGCAACCTTGGTACTATCTTTTTTGATTAATTTAATTTAAATATCTCAGGCAGATTGTGTGTTATCTTTTCGAACTAAATGAATCAACCGTTGTTGGTCCTTTAAATTAAATTTTCTTGGTATACCACTTCCTTTCTTTTTCTCCAAGCTCATTCCTTCCTTTACTTTCTATAAATACCTTGCAACTGTTGCCTTGGGTATCCAAGTTAATTTCATCAAAGACTTTAGGTCTTTATGACCTGCTTTAAAAAGATAGTCAAGTGTCAACGCTGACAACTTTATTTCTTAAATAAATATTTTTAGGTAAACCAGAAGTAATAATAAACATGTAGATTTTTTGATGAATATATAAGCACTTGACAAATCAAACAATGGGTTTCATGAAATACAAAAAAGTCATCGTATGACTCGCCGAAAATTGTAAATAAACGAACAAAATACACGGTCTTTTTTTTTTTTTTCCATAAGGTGTGTGTGTATATATATATATATATATATATATATATATATATATATATATATATATATATATATATATATATATATATAATAAAATACCTGCCTCTATATTTAAACATCTAAAATTTTAAATGTTAAGACAAAATAAAAAAAACTTTTTAGTCATAAGCCAATAATATAATTACTTAAATATGTAGCTATGAAAATAACTGTTTTGACAATATTATAGGTCTGTCACTATGGCATATCATTTTTCATTAAATAGTAGACATGTGTACGCAAATAATAAGTATTCACAAAAAAATCAATCCCATTTACAGTATTTGAAAATAAAATATTGTCTTGAATATTTTTAATACAAAAGATATCAAAATTTTCTGTCCTTCAGGGTTAGGGATCTGCAGTGACACTTTATTATTGATAAGGCAATGATTTAAGGAGGTCGGTTTCCGACTTGACTTTTGTTTGCAGACTCACTGATCCTTTTTTGTTGCTTTTATCTTGCAAGTCTGTTGTAACTCTAATCCTAACAGCCAACAATATCAGTTAGTAATTTTATACATTCAGCTTGACATCAGTAGATATAGTCTAGACAAATGTCTGTATTTTTTTTTTGTTAAAAAAAGTTTTTTTAATTGTTATTTAAACAACAGATTTTAGATGGTTTTGAGAGAATAAGTCAGTTTTTTTGTTATGCTATATTATTTTGGTACTTAGTCTTTTGTTTTCACTATTCATTTATAGATCTTTATTATGCTATGTTGTTTTGCAGATTGTTGTGCACCCACAAAGTTTTTTTACGTTTGTTTATTTATATATTCCTGATTTTTTTCTTGCTTTTTATTAAGTCATTGTTATTTATTTATATAAACAATTTAGAACAAATAATGAGTAAAGTTTTATTTTATTTTTATTCTGATTCATTTCCAACAACCTTTTTCAAGATTGTATGAATCAGAAAAACATTGAGAGTTCTAAAAGGTTAAAGTGCTGGGAAAAAAATAGACAAATAAAAGTTTTTAGAGCATGCAATGACAGATACAGTAAAAGAATAAGACTTTGCCGAATGACAAGTCAAGCAAGAATAAGGATTTAACAAAATACTGTAGATAAGGGTGAGCGTCGGTTTTATAGTTAGAATAACTAGTTAGTAAATGAGCTCACACTGCATCAAAACAGATTTAAACATTTAAACAGAACATTTTAACAGAACGAAAACACAAAGTAACTTATGGTTGAGTAAACATATTGCCAGTGGTTTAGACAGAATACAAACATACATATAAACATTAACAGACAGAGCACAAACATACAGATAGCAACTAGGGAAGAGTCAACACCATGCTAGAGGTTCAGACATAACATAAACATACAGATACCAACTTACGGGTTAGTCAACACCACGTAAGAGGTTCAGACAGAACACTAACATACATACTAGATTAGAAGTAAGCTAAAACAGTAACTAAGGTACCTCCAACTAAATAAATAACACACACACAAAAAAAATGTATATTTATATGTATATATCATTATAAAACTTATCATGTTAAAAATGCTTTTTGTGGTGAACACAACTTATCATTTTAGAAGGCTTACTGCGGTCATGTTTTTAATACTTAACTTATTAAAAAAGCGTTGGATTAGTAGAATTAAAAATCTTTAAATTATTCAACCCCATATTCAGTTGCATAACTACAACCTATCCGGTTATCCAATTTCCCACCAGATACTTAAAAAACCACCAGATATAAAAAATACTGTTCTATAGAACTGTAATAGCTTCAGATTAAATTCTGAAGCTATAGCCTCAGAATGACTTCTCAAACACCACTTAGAAGACAGCTTTTAAGTTGTTCCTGTTGAACGGTTTTAAAGGGACCCAAAGTGCTAAGACAAGTTGTGTTCGTATTAAAGAGAATGTTTTAAAAAATATATTAGGGTTGAATATTATAAATTTATTATTATAATTTATTTATATTTATAACACGTTTAATTTCAAAGAGTTTCACTATTAAAAATGAGGTCATTGAAGAATTTAAAAAAAAAAAAAAAAATCTAAATATTTTATCAAACCAATTTTGTTTGTTTTTGCATTTGTTTTTTAAAATAAGCATTTACCATCAATCGTATGACTTTCCTATGAATTTTATAGGAAGCTAAACAAAGAATGTTTTTATACAAAGAAGGAGAATCAAATAAAGTTAATATTTTTATGATACACTCCTAAAATATGATAAATAAATAAAAAAGACGCTGATCACCTTATTATATAATTTGAACCTTTTTTCTTTGATGTAAACAATGTGAACTTTTTTTTCTAGTTTATCTAAGCCCTTTATTGTTATGATGTTTTTGTTCTCCTATCAAAATGACATTTTACAAATTCCTAAATTGTAATTAACAAATAATTTTTGAAAACAACATCATTTATTAGAGATATTTGCTGAACTCTTTAATTTTTAGTTATAAATATTTAATGAATTTTTTCTTTATAAATTTACAAACAGCTTTTTATTAACTAAAGCAATAATTAATGTTTTATGGCAATAATTTAAGACAGATGGATATTAAAATTGTCAATGTGTTGCAGCGCACACTAAAAAACATTTCATATTTAATAATTATATATCGTATTTGGTCTCTTGACATTACAAATCAAAAACTATTAAAATTGATCATAAAAAGTTTTTCATTAAACAATTTCAATTTTAAAAATGAATCGATAATGCTATACTTTTTTGCAATCTTCAGCAATAACTGTTCCATTTTAAAAATAAAATTAAATAAACAATACATGTTTTACAGAATAAAATTCATAAAATATATTCTCACATGATTAAATAAGAACTTCTAGAATATTTGTACTTGATGCAAAGTTTAGCAAATAAATGCTGCAAATAAAACTTAATAAAATTAACAAAATGTTAATAAAATTCTACTATGACATCATATACTATTTTATATATTCTATATACACGTTTAATTCTAAAAACTCTTTAGAATTAAACGTGCTTGAGTAAATTATAAAGTCTGTAATTGAGATGTATATTTTAAAGAAATAAAAACAAATGCTAATATTGAGATATCGAGTAAAACAACAAAGTTTGTTTTTTTGGTATACATTTATTATTTTATTTTGCTCAAAAAAGTTCAACATAAATATTTTTTTTTAAACATTCACTTTAAAATGAATTTATCTCGGCACTTTGGGATCCCTTTAGTTAAACAGCTTTGTTTTTCTGCATTTTCTTTAAAAAATGGTAAACGGAAGAAGCATGCTTATTCTTTTTTTTTTGTTGTTCAATATTTTTACTTTTTAATAAAGAATGCAAATTATAAACAAATTTACAAATAATATACCGAAAAGTTAAACTTGTACATAAATAAAAAATTAGTAAATAAAAAAATAGACAAAAAATGGTGAAAAAAGCTATATAAATTTATATTTATTTAGACAATTGTAAAATATAAAAAACTAAAGCAATAAAAAAAATGCATTACCAGGCATCGCAGCTACAGAAATTAAAACATCCGATTTTTTAGCCAAGCAGTCAGTTGCCAAGCAGTCAGTTAAATATCTCAAAACAGAGAATGGATAAATTACATTTTTTTCATTATCCTGGCAAGCCTGGATGAAAACCACTTTTGTTACACCAATAAGCCATTTATTCATATTCATTGCAGCAATTATTTGTCTAAAACTCAGTTTCTTACAATCACTTCCATAAACACCACCATTAAAACCATGTGATAAAATAACAATAACATATAAACCAACAGTCTGATCTAACTTTAAACTGGGAGACTCCATTAAGATTAAATCACGTATGTTGTTCACAGTTTTATTATCATAAATTTTAACTTCATAATTATTTGAATGGAAAAGTTCCCACAACTGAAATACATCTTGATTAGTACCCTCCCGCTCTCTAAACTGTACACCATTATGTGTAGGGCTTCCTTTAAATTGATTGGATACAATACGCAGTAATTTAATTTTAGTATCTAAAAAAATAACTTCTGAGGGTTGTTTCTTTGATCTGAAAAAATATTTTAAAAACATTAAATATTTTAATCATTACTTTCTTCATTGAATGAATATATATATATATATATATATATATATATATATATATATATATATATATATATATATATATATATATATATATATATATATATATATATATATATATATATATGTATATATATATATATATATGTATGTATATATATATATATATATATATATATATATATATATATATATATATATATATATATATATATATATATATATATATATATATATATATATGTATGTATGTATATATATATATATATATATATATATATATATATATATATATATATATATATATATATATATAATATATACATATATATATATTTGGGTCAGCATCAAGGTCAGGCTTAGGGTTAGGGTAAGGTTTAAATATGGTTATATTACTATAATTAATTGTTTTTGTAAATAAAAATAAAATATAATATATAAATAAAAAGAACAAACATAAATACAAAAAACATATTTTTTTAACAAAAAAATAAATTTAATTATGTATAAATAAAAATTAAAATATGATTAAAATTAAAAATAATTATGTTTATGATAAAAATAGAATAGAAAAAGAAAAAACAAAACAAAACGGGAACAAAAAAAAAAACATGACTCCTTAAACGCTGACTAGGAGTGTGTGTGTATATGTGTATATATATATATATATATATATATATATATATATATATATATATATATATATATATATATATATATAAACAATGGGTTGGAGTTGAAGTATGCAAACTGGTGGGTTTATACATTCTAGACTCTTTATCCAAAACCATTACTAAAAATGATATAGGTCTTTACCGAGACGACGGATTGATGGTGATGCGCAAAAAAACTACCGCACAGTTAGACAAAGTCAGAAAAAATATAATTGAGATATTTAAAAAAGATCGGATTTCAAATAGAGATTCAAACCAATTTAAACAGTGTTAATTTTTCTTGACGTAAATTTTAATCTTCAAAAAAACTCCTACCAACCTTTTAAAAAACAAAATGACCAACTGCTCTACATCCACACCAAATCAAACCACCCACCCCAAGTTCTTAAGCAGATCCCTCTCTCCATTAATGATCGATTATGGCAAAATTCTTCCAATGAAAAAATATTTAACGCTTCAAAAACAGAATACGAAGAAACACTTAAACAAAACGGTTTTAAAAACTTTAACTTAAAGTACAACCCAAAAAATAAGACACCTCCCAAAAGAAAAAGGAATATAATTTGGTTTAACCCACCCTACAATAAAAGCGTCTCCACCAATGTTGGCCAAATCTTTTTGCAAATAATAGATAAACATTTCCCACCTTCAAATCCATTACATAAACTACTCAATCGAAACACTACAAAAATTAGCTACAGCTGCTCAAACATCATTTCAAAAATTATAAAAAGCCACAACAAAAAAAATAAATTTAGTTAACACCACTGAAAATCTCCCTTGCAATTGCAAGCAAAAAGAAATCTGCCCGCTGAATAAAAATTGTAGAGCGACAAATATCATTTACAAATGTATAACATCTTCCTTAAACACTCCCAGCAAAGCATACATTGGTTTATCAGAAGGAGTGAGTTTTTTTTTTTTTTTTTTTTTTTTTTAACATCTTCACTTCCAACAAGGCTGCAAGCAACCACTATAAGAGTTGGAAGTTACTGGAAGAGAAAAGACTAAATCTGTAGAGCAAGATAACGATTGACTGATGACTTAAAAGATTGCAAATTATATGAATCAGGAAAGCAAGATGAAGGAAGCGAATTCCAAAGAACTGATGTTCGAGGAAAAAAACTAGAAGAATAAGAGTTTTTGAAGCACTTAGGAACAGTCACAGAAAAAGGATGAGACTTAATTGAATGGCGAGTAACACGAGAGTGAATTTTAGTAGATGGCACAAGGGACGCTAGCTCTTTAGAGCAGTGCCCATTATAGTATTTGTAGAAAAGAGAAAGAGAAGCAACATTACGACGATGTGACAAAGGTTGGAGATTGGCTGCAAGAGCAGGTCCAACTATGTTTACAATTCGTTTTTGCACCTTGTCTAAAAGAGAAAGAGCATCATTAGAAGATCCGCCCCAGATGTGGCAACAGTATTCCATACAGGGACGGATTTGAGATTTATAGAGATAGAGAATAGAATCTGGAGTAAGAAAGTGTCGAGCTCGATAAAGAGATGCAACCTTAGCAGATGCTAATTTTGCAATAGATTTGATATACGGTTTAAAAGAAAGATCAGAAGTAAGAGTTAATCCTAGAAGATGAATGGTAGATGACTCATCTAGTACATTACCATTCATAAATATAGGAAGATCTAAATTATTACGATAACGATTGGCCGAATAAAATTGAGTTTTATCTGAATTAAAGTTCACCAGCCACTGTGAGCCCCATGCTGTAGCAGAAGTGAGATCCTTTTCAAGCTCAGATACCCCCTCCAAGCAATCAGAGAGTGTAGGCTTCTTATCATGACAAGAGTAAATGGTAGTGTCGTCAGCGAATAATGCCACCTTAGATGTGAGAATATCTGGAAGATCGTTAATGTAAATTAAAAAGAGTATAGGGCCAAGGATTGAACCTTGAGGAACCCCTGAAGTTACAGGATGTGAAGAAGAGTGTTGTCCATCGAGGACAACTTTTATACTACGATTGGAAAGAAAGGACTCAATAATCTTAAAGACGTTACCAGCTACACCATAAGAAGAAAGCTTATGGAGAAGACCAGCATGCCAAACTTTATCAAAAGCTTTAGAAATGTCAAGTGCGATAGCCTTAACCTCTCCACCTCTATCTAATGCACGGTAAAACCTATCGGTTATTACTGTTAGCACATCAGCTGTAGAACGAGAAGACCGAAATCCATATTGATGATCAGAAAGTAAGTTATTTGATTCAAGATGAGAGATTAAGTGTTTGTTGATTAAAGATTCAAAAACCTTGCTTATGACAGGAAGAAGACTAATGGGACGGTAGTTAGATGAATCAGATCGCTCTCCGGAATTTTTGAAAATAGGGATAACAGATGCTGCTTTCCAGCATGATGGAAAACAAGACTCTGATAAGCACTTGTTAAATAGTTTAGAAAGTATGGATGAAAGCTCCGGAGAACACCTCTGCAAAACTACAACAGGAATGTTGTCAGGACCACAAGCTGTTGAAGAGTCTAAGCAGGAAATCACTTTAGATACAGAAGCTGAAGTGATGCGAATGTCAAGCAAGGGATCAACCTGTTTGACGGCTATGTCAGGTAAAACGCAACTAGTGGAATCAAGAGATGATATTGATGAAAAGTTCTTAGCAAACAATTCGGCTTTGTCTTTAGGTGAGGTGACAAAGTCTGAACCATACAAGAGAGAAGGAATAACAGATTTGCCCTTATTATTGATACTGTTAAAGATTCTCCAGAAGTCTCGAGAGCCTAATTTTTGTGATGAGATACGAGATTTAATGACCTGGGAATAGCGAGCTTTGGCGTCAGACAAAACCTTTTTACAATGGTTTCTGGCGATAGTGAACAGATGTCTGTTTTCTGGAGAATTGTTTTGCTGATAGATATGGAAGTAACGGTTTCGATTAGAAATTGCTGCAGCGCAATGTGAGGAAAACCAAGGAGAAGAGTGAGGCTTGACCTGGAATCGTCGAGAGGGAATAAAAGATTCCATGCCAGCCTGAATCCACGAAGTTATGTAAGAAGCACACTTGTCAGCAGGAAGACGAAAGATTTCTACCCAAGGGCCATCACGAAGAAAATCACGGAAAGAGTCCCAGTCAGCTTTAAGGTAGTTGTATGTGGTACGATGATAGGGGGATTCTGATGAAGTAGAAGAATTTGATAATAGTTTTAGAGAGATCAAACCGTGATCAGAAGTACCTAAGGGTGAATGTGGAGAAATTGAGCACTGACTAGGATCCAAAACAAGACATAAGTCGAGTAGAGAAGGTAAATGATTAGGGTTGTCTGGAAAACGAGTTGGAAAGTTGACTATTTGAGTTAGAGATTGAGAAAGGCAAAAGTTGAGGGCCTTAACGCCAGCAGAGTCACTGACACTAGAGCCAAGCCAATCGGTGTGATGGGCATTAAAGTCACCAACAACGACGATATTGGCCGATGGATAAAGAGAGAGGGCTTGGTCAATTTGATCAGAAATAACATCAAGAATAGTGCAGTCTTGGGATGAAGGAGAGCGATATAGAACAAAGAGAAAGGCGATAGAGTGAAGTTGTGCTAAACGAAAGCACATAAATGAATAGTCTGTAGATTCAAACCTAGTTTCACGACAAATGGGTGAGTTCTTACGAATGTAGATGCCCAGGCCAAGCATGTGATTATTGGAGTCTTTACGAATTAAAGGAAGATAACCATCAACACTAAGATCACAAGATGGGACAGCCGAACTCAAATTAGTCTCACAAAGAGCAAGTAGGTCTGGTGAACTTTGCAAGAGATAAGACTCAACAGAAGAAAAGTTACTTCGAAGACCACGAATATTAGTAAATGATAGGTTTAGAGAACTTGGTGATGACAATGGTTTTTTGTGTTTTTTAGTTTTAGGTACTTTAGTCATTTTAAATTTATAAAGAACTTGACTCAAGTATAGATAGTACTCAGTACACTATTTAACAACTAAGCAATAGCCTCATTACTATTAATAAACCCTAAGCCGTAACAAAGGGCTCCAAATGTGGCCTCTGCAATGCACACCAAAAGTACAAACAGGGACACCATCCATGCGCAACATGGCACTGTTAGTACTCTGATATTTTTCGGCTGTTGATGGAATCAGCCTCTCTGAGAGCTACCACAGAGTTCGGGAAACCTGACTACCAGCCGGCCTCAGAACCATAAAACTGAGTTTTAGAGCTGTACCCTCATTAGGAGATAATAGAATGAGTTGCCCAGTCATAGAATGAGTTGCCCAGTCATA